GGGGCCGGGGGTGGGGGGGGGGTGTTTGAAAGGAACTACATAAGCAGCATCAAAGAATAAAGATGGATGCCAGAATATCACAAACTATTGAAATGGCCCAAACATCAACCCCTCAGCAGCTGCATGAACCATAGATTTGTATGCTGGAAATTTATGGGATAAAAATAAAGAAAAATGAAAAAAACCACTATAGCTCATAATGAAGTGACCAACTATAGATAAAGCTTTTTAGCATTTCTTTCAAGGACAAGCACACAGGTCCCAAAAAGGATACTGCGCATGAGGAGTTACAGCTATAAGAATTCTAGCTTTCCATATAAGAACATCATTAACACAACCTTGGGGATGAATTAAGATTGGCCTAATCACGTGTAACCTATTAGTACTTCTGATCTAGTCTACCATTTCCCTCACTTTGCACAAAGTAAAACATTTTAAATATAAGAAATTGGGAAAAGGGAATATGGAGAAAATCCTTCCTCTACTACATCAAGTAATTAAAACAGCAACAAACAAGTGCCTGATTTCTAGATCTTAAGAGGAAAGAACAGAACAGAGAAGCGAAAGAGTCGATTATATGCCACAGAAATAAAAAAGCAATGGTATGTCCTTCCTCCAAAATAAAATGCTGAAAGGCAACAGCTGAAGACATATTTTTCCTCTTCAGACAACAAAGAATGCTTTCAACTGATTAGCACTTTCTTCGGTCAAGGGGAAGATGATGGCAGTCTCCCTTTCACTCTCCTGTATTCTTCTTAAAGCTGAAACTGAAGTTAACAAGGAACTGGAAGTTCATTACTGCTGATCTGGCTTTTATTTTCTAGCTGTGGATGCGAATTCATGAGCATAAAGCTAACCTTAAGGTGAGTTGATGTTTAACAGTCTTGCTCCCCTATGCCTGTTTACTAATAAATTGTTTCTGTGTCAACGTACACTACTAAAAAGCTGGAACCCTACTTTACTTTTCCAGAAACTATAAGAAGATAGTGTCCAACTATGACTAGCCGCGATTGCAATTCCAAAAGCACATCCCATTTACAGCTAATGCAAAAACCAAGCAGAAACCCCTATATCCAAATACAGTAACATGCTCTCTTTCACTTATGCCAAATTATCATTGGCATCGGAAAATAATTCAAGCAATTAAGTACTGTCTCTAAAATCAGTAAGAGTAAATTTTTTTAGCTACAAGTAAAACTCACAGGGATGGCAGCCAACTGATTCAGCCGTTTCCCTACTTCACCATCAAGAAGAGATTCATCCTCTATCTCCGGTGAAACTTCTTGATGCTCCCAATTGGATGATGCAGCTGTGCGAGGGCAAAATGTTATCATTCCGTTACCATCTCTGTCTTCCTCATTGCCATCAAGTGCTGCACATTCCAAAGTATTATCAACATAAGTATGCAAAGCAGAGCTGTCTAATCCATGTACATAAAACTAACGCCTCTTCTATACCAAAATTGTAATTTCTCCTCGTCGATGCAACCCAATCCTGAGCAAGAACTGATGCTTTTCGATGTTCTTCTTCAGTGTGTGAAGATTCTACAGAATCCACGACTGAAAGTCGTGATAGTTCCTCCTGAAGGGCACGGGCAATTACCTCATCATTCTCCACGTTAACATGCGTAGGCTCACAATAACCTTCTCTCACATATCCATCTTGAGAAAAATCCCTGTCATACTGAGTAACAGTTCCGAGAGAACCACCATTGTTTATAGAACAAACATCTATAAGGTGGAGATTCCACCTCACTACGTCAGGATCTAGCTCATAAACAGTCATTTATGTGTACAAATTCCTGCAGTCCCCAAAGAATTAGCAAGAAATGGAGTCAACACATCTCTTTCCAAAAGTTTTTACGCTAATAGGTTTTACGCATCACGTCAATAATATCAGTCACGTTCAATAGTCATCCATATCCTCTGGAAGAAATTTTAAACAAAAAATGGAAAAATGAGTTCACACAAACACATTCATACATTCAGAGACACATGACACAGACATTTATTGGAGCTGTCAGAACGTTGCGACTAAAGTTGTGCCCATAGCGGTGACATCTAGTCTTTCTGCATCTTAAAAGAAGGGCAGGACATAATACATCAAAGGTAAAATCCTAAAGCTTTATGGTTCCTTTACCTCCATAAACTTTGTACTCTCTGTTTATTGTAGAAGAAGGGCTTTTTCCCATTGTCACTTACACTTCCCAAAATAGGACTTGATTCAATGAATCAACAAATTTCAGTAACGGTTCAAGCTCTGCCTATAATCCCGCAACATATGCTACAGAGTGATTGTATTCTGGTAAATTTCCTTTCCGAAAGGGTCATATCTACCTGCTTTTTTCAGACCTATGGAGGGAAGTTCTAAAGGAATCTACTAGCTTTGTTGAAATAAATACTTACTTATATGGTTGACTTGTGGGACTTAAATAAATGACATCCAAAGGAAAGTCAGTCACTAAATAGAACTCCTTTAATGCTGTAGGATAGACAAGCTAAAAGGTCAAGAAGATTATGTAAAATACAAAATCCTTCTACTTTCAAACCACCCACAAATCGAATTATATAAAATAGATAAGCAAAGTAAAATTTCTAATTCCACAAATGGATTATTGCATGGAAAGACATAATAGGTGGGGCCAATGGTGCCAGACAACCTACAGTAAACAATATTATTTCCTCCCACCCAGGAAACACATCAGCTCTGATAATGCACCAAGTTTTTCACACTTCATCTAGCAGCATAGCTAACATAGCTAGTTGGCTGCAAATACATTTAAAACAACAAAGTATACCTATAGAAATTCTCATTCAAAGATTCATTTATCTTGCAAGAGTTAAGCTCCCCTGATCCCCTTCATTCTAGGAAGTGGTGGCAAAATAAATAAAAACACTAAAAAATTTATTTATTTCTTAATTCCAACTCGTAATAGTTAATATATGTGCAACATCAAAAGGGGGTGTCCAAATTTTGTTGCGCCTACTATCAAATTTCTACTACACAAAAATGATAAGCCTCACATATCTGTACAACTTATACCAAGTTACTAACCATTAACAGTTGCCTAAGTCACAACAATGACATTTCTCAAGAAGTAAATGAGTGATTTATTGACCCAACAATAAAAATCCAAGAACATAAACAAACTTCAACGCAAAGTCACAATGATGACAGACTTATTGAACTACTTAGAAGCTCTTTCTCACAAGTAATATGGCACATCAACGTTACAGATTCACCCAAAAAACAAGTTAAAATACATGCATAACATTAGCATACGTTATCACTACTTCTCTTTCCTGGATAGTAATTCACTAACTTTCTATAATTAATTAAAGAAAACCAAACTAACACGCAAACAACAACAACAAACTCAGTAGTTTCCCGCAAGTGGGGTCAGGTAAAACCAAACTAACACGCGATCAGAAAAAAGACTTTTCTTTTCGGGAACAGCAACGTGTCATGACATAGCCAGACAAAATGCTAGAACAAAGATTTGATCTTCTTAAACATAAAATTAAATCACAAAACATAGAAAAACAAAATTTCTGCTCTACAAAAGCATTTAGTTGCTTTTTCCAATTCTAACACACAAATTTCCAATTAGCAACAAAAAAAAGTTCATCTAATAACAGGATCATAGAAGTGTAATCAATCCCTAAAATCTCTGAAAAATCTGAAACTGCCAAAAATTTTATTACACGTAAGTATGAAATTGAACTGATGCAATTGAATATACGAACCTTTGAACAGCCACAAAGCTTCAAACTTAGGGGAGAAATCTTTACGTCTAAAGAAGAAAAAGAAAAATCTTCAATATATTTTTAAAACAATCGAAGAGTTCGACGCGTAAAAGCGTGAAATCAGCAGAACGCCGCCGTATTTGGAAACGCCGTGGTGGAGTAGTTGAAGAAAGATTGCATCATAAACATTCTTTGAATGGGAAAGCGAAAGGAACGAACGTCCGAATTTCCGGCGTGAAATGGGACTCCTAAGCTGTGGGGGCCCACCTAATCTTCCTCAGTATTTGTGAAACCAACTTAAGATGCGCCGCCAAACCGACACGTGTCCTGGGCGGTGGCACCTGTAAATCTGCAACCGGCAGACGTCCGTGACTTGGTTATTGTGACGTCTACGGATAAAGATATGGGGATAGTGTTAGTGGAACGTGTGATCCTTAACACGAAAGATTCCATAATTTATTGGGACTTATTAATTGAGAATTTCTTTTAAGAATGTGAGAGAGGAGTGTACTTCACGGAAAAAAAGAGGAGTGAACCGATAAATCCTGAGGTGGTTAGATTCATGAACATGTATAATTTAAACGTAAAATTAATACATTAATGTGAAAAATATAGTATAATTTAAACTTGATAATGTGAAATGCATTTATATGTAAGATTTTGTATCATTGATGTGCGAGAAATTTAATTGTAAATTTGTAATTATGCGCTATGATGTGTTTAAATTTGAATAAGCAAGTTCAGCAATAAAATAAGGTAAAATTCCAAGGCCAATAACAAATACGAGCGGCATTGAACATGACAATCGTGTTCTTTCACAACATTGCATAACCAAATATCTTTTATCCTTCTAACAATTTATCAAGACAACCAAAATACTTTAACAACAAATTCATGGCAACAACTTGAAAGTTTTTATTTTGTGACTCACACAACTGACACTAGTTGTGTGAGGTTTTGTTTTGTCTCACAACAAAGTGGACCCAATTCTAACACATTTGAGTCCACAAAATTTTAGATCCACTTTATTGTGAGACAAAACAAAGCCTTAGGATGTGCGAGGTATATAATAAAGTTTTTCCAACAACTTATATTTGGATTTGGTGAATAGACCATTTCAACTTTACAAGCCTAGTTCAAGAAGTGTGCAGATAATTTGGGCTTAGCTGTTAAGACCCACGAAACATTGCTCAAGGCTCGAAAAGATAAAAATAGCACGAGCTAACCAGTTTTCGGACTGATAATTCAAAAATAGCCAGCGTTTGTAAATTCATTGAAAAATAGTCACTATTTTGCTGCAATACGGACCGGTCCAGCATAATATACTGGAGATTGGTGCACTTGTGTATGAACTTCCAGCATATTATGTTGGAACTCCAATACGGGGAAAGTTCCAGCATAATATACTGGAGATTGGAGCACCTGTGTATGAACTTCCAGCATATTATGCTGGACCGGTATATTATACTGGAACTCTAGTATATTATGCTGGAATATTTTTCGGATTTTGAACAGTGTTTTCGTTCAGATTTATCTTTACATAAAAAGTAGCTAAATTTTGATTACTTTTGAAACTGTGATTATTTTTTAATTATCACTTGTAAATCTAGCTATTTTTTGAATTTCTCCCCCCAAAAAGGCCAGCTCATTTTGTGATAGGGCCTTTTTATTATTTTTGGCCCGACGACCCAAAATAATCACAGGCGGTAGTCAAAATATATAANATATCGACTATTATTTTTCAAGCGGCCCAAATATATAATTATTCCCTTTTAAGGAATTTTTTCTATAAATATAAAATTAGGTCAATATTTACCCGCTTTAGCTAGCCTTTTCTATTTACAAAAAGTAGATAGAATTATTTTTTTATAAAATATATACAAATTCGATCAATTCGTACAATTTATATACAACTTGTATACAACTTTTTATTGTACAAAATTCAAGCTTTCTCTGTCAAACAATAATGGGGGATAAAAACAACACATTGAATGAAGATCTCGGTCTCTACTATTGTCGTGACAAATTGACGTTGGACTGTCACGACCCAAAATTCTATCGGAGTTGTGATGGCGCCTAACACCTTTTGCTAGTCAAGCCAACAATAATTATATGGAAATAAAACGGTAAGAAATAGTCTCAATTGGTGGAATAGTATAAATAAATAAAGTCAAAAGATGATACAACTGAAACTACCCAAAATCTGATGTCACCGAGTGCATGAGCTTTATAGAGTACTAAAAACAAAGTCTGAATAAAACATAATACTCTCTACAAGACTAAAAAAACAATATCATAATATAAAGGAGAAGACTTCAAGGCCTGCGAGTGGGACATCAGTGCTACCTCGAAATCTCCGAGCAAATCTAGATGATGACACACTAGCAACCACTGCTATCAGCAACACATGGATCTGCACATTAAGTATAGAGTATAGTATGAGTACAACCGACCCCATGTACTCAATAAGTAACAAGCATAACCTCTGCCTGAAAGCAGCGACGAGGTTGGCAAGGTCCAATACTCGCTTTCAATAGTCAACAACAATAATAACAGCATAATAATGCAAAAGGTAAAACAACTCAAATAATATCTGGTTCAACTCTATAACAATAAGAGGAGAAATAAGCATGCTTTTTAAGTATATCAGTCAAGGCATCAACTTTTTCAGAGAAATCACCTAGACATGGATTTAATAAAGTAAACTGTGACTTCAAGCTCTAAACATCAAATACCAATTAGCATGAGTAAAAATACAACTTTATGCCTGCATGACAAGTATACATTCCAAAATTAACAACAACACAATATAATCATCAAGTATACAAAATCTCAGCATATTCATAGTGCTCGGTGTTGCGAGGTGGAGCTAAAGAGGTGGCTATTGGCAATGATGGCGTATTGCGACTTCAGGGTCGGATTTGTGTTCCTAATGTGAATGTTTGAAAGAGTTGATTCTTAAGGAGGCTCATAGTTCGCGGTCTTCTATTCATCCAAGTGCTATAAAGATGTACTGTGATTTAAAACAGCATTATTGGTGGCGGAGGATGAATAAGGGTACATTGTTGGATATTTTTTGTGGTGTTTGAATTGCCAGCAGGTCAAATACGAGCATTAGAGACCGGACGGTTTGCTTCAGAGGTTAGAGATACCGGCATGAAAGTGGAAGCACTTTCTATGGAATTTGTAGTAGGATTCCCACAGACTTTGAGGAGATTTTACGTTGTATGGGTCATTGTGGACAGACTGACCAAGTCTGCGCATTTCATTCTAATCATGACTTCCTACACTTAAGAGCAACTGGCTAAGATCTACATTAGAGAGATTGTCCACTTGCATGGTATGCCTGTGTCTATCATCTCGGATCGGGGCACTCAGTTTACATTGCATTTTTGGAGAGCAGTTCAGCGTGAGTTGGGCATGCATATTGAGCTGAGCACTGCATTACACATCCAGACGGATGTGTAGTCCAAGCTGACCATTCGGATTTTGGAGGATATGTTGAGGGGCTGTGATTGATTTCGGAAGCCACTGGGATCAGTTTTTACCATTGGTAGAGTTTGCATATAACAACAGCTATCAGTCTAGTATTGAGATGGCTCTGTATGAGGCCTTATATGAGAGGTAATGTCGTTCTCCGATTGGTTGGTTTGAGCCTACTGAGTCTAGGTTGTTGGGCACAAATTTGGTTCGTGATGCTTTGGATAAAGTGAAATTGATTCAGGAGCGGTTTTGCACAGTACAGTCAAGGCAAAAGAGTTATGCTGATAGGAAAATTTGTGATGTGGTTTTCATGGATGGTGAGAAGGTTCTTCTCCGAGTTTCGCCTATGAAGGGAATGATGAGATTTGGGAAGAAGGACAAGTTGAGCCCTTGGCATATTGGTCCATTTGAGGTGTTAGAGAGAGTTGGTGATGTGGCCTACAGATTTGGTTTACTACCTAGCTTATCGGAGTTCATCAGGTATTTTATGTTTCCATGCTCTGAAAGTATTATAAGGATCAGTCATATGTGTTGGATTTTAGTTCAGTGCAGTTGGATGAGAATCTGGATTATGAAAAAGAACCAATGGCCATTTTGGATATGTAGGTTCGGAAGTTGAGGTCTAAAGACATTGCATCAGTGAAGGTTCAGTGGAGAGGTTAACTGGTTGAGGAGGCGATTTGGGAGACCGAGCATGATATGCGAAGCATATATCCTCATCTTTTTGACATTCCAGGTATAATTCTAAATTCGTTCGAGGATGAATGTTTGCTTAAGAGGGGGAGAATGTAACGACCTGGCTAGTCGTTTTGCGTGTTTGAGTCCAGTTTCCCTATTTGATGTTCCCCGTATGCTTGTTTGTTGTTTTGTAACTTGCAGATAGTTGGTTTGGTTTCGGAAAGGTTTGGGAGTAAAGTAGAACACTTTGTTCTATTGTTGGAAGCTTAAGTTGTAAGAGTTGACTAATGTTTAACTTTTGAGTAGATGACCCCTGAATGGTGATTTGAAGGTTCTAGTAGGTTCGTACAGTGATTTTGAACTTAGGTGTATGTCCGAATTTGAATTTGGAGATTCCTATGATGTTTTGACTTTATTTGCTGAAACTTGAAAATTTGAAGGTTTGAAAAGTTTATAGGTTTGACCGGGAGTTGACTTTGGTAATGTTAGACTCGGATTGTTGTTTTGGGACTTGGAATAGATTTATTTAGTGCTTTGAAACTTGTCTGTGAAATTTGATTGGAATCTAGAATGTTTAGGCATGATTAGTACATGTTTGGCGAAGTTGGAAAGTTTATAACTTAAGAGATTAATTTTGATCGTCGATTCTTGATTTTGATGTTATTCGTAGTGTTTTGGGCATTTGGATGATGTATTCGTATTTGTAGGTATAAATGAATGGGGTTCTGGAGGGCTCGGGTATGTTTCGGATTAATTTCGATTTATGTTAGTGAATTAAAGCATTGGTGGTTTTGGCAGGGATCTGGTGCATAGCACCTGCGGAGCCGCATGTGCGGGATTTTGCTCCTAGAAGCGGGATGAGGGGTGGCCCGAGTGGATCGCACATGCGTTGAAGTTTGCAGGTGCGGGGTCGCTTGTGCAAGGGTGTTTGCACAGAAGCACATCTGCAGAAGTAGAAGTATGTCACATAAGCGAGGGGTTGGCTGGTTTAGTGAATCTCGCATCTGCGAAGGTTTTGCCGCAAATGCGACGTCGCAAAAGCAACCTAGTGGTCCGCAAATGTGGAATCATTGGTAGGAGAATATATTTTGAGGGCTTGGCTTATTTTCACTATTTTGAGTTTTGGAGCTCGGTAGAGGCGATCATTGGGGAGATTTTCATCACCACTTGGAGGGTAAGTTATTTCTACTTGATTTTTGATAATATATCTTGTTTTCCCATGTATTATTACACGTAGATTATGAATTTGAAAGA